CTTTATCTTCTGGCTCACTATGAGATTATTGATTCTAAATTCTTTTAATATATATAATTATAATTTAATATTTTACTGGCTTATATATTAATTTTTTTATTTATTTTATAAAAATTTATAAATTTAAAATTATTATTTTTACTAACTTATAAATTTTTAATTATAAATTTAATTTAATTATTTAAAATTTTAAATATACCACCAAAATGTAAAACTCCTCCTACTCCTTCGCATATTGCTAATGATGATAGTTATAAAGAACTTTCACAACCAAAAACAAAGGCTGAAAAAACCAGAAGATTAGATAGAAAAAGAAAAGCTGTTACCAAATGGTATAAAGAAAATCCTAATTCAATAATTGAATCATCAATATTTACAACTGCAATCTCTACACTACCACCAATATCTGCAACAACTTCTGCAACTACATCTTTAATAACAGTAGCTACAACAGTATCTGCAACAGTAGCACCAACAGTAGCAACAACAGTAATAACAACAGCAACAACAGCAATAGCAATAGCACCAACAGTATCAATATTACTAACAGCATCAACAACAGTATTAACAACAGAAGCAACAACAGCAGCAACAGCAACAACAGCAACAACAACAACAACAGCAACAAAAGCAACAACAGTAGCAAAAACAGCAACAACACCAGTAGTAACAATATCAAATATAATATCAACAATAGCAGCTATAACTCCAACAAACTTAGAATTAGTATCAATATCAGATAGATCACAGTCATTTATTTCAATAACATTAGCAAAAGCATTTACTGAATCAACAATATTAAATTCATTATCACCAAATTTACAACACAAAAAAGATAATCGATTACAACAAGAAAATTATAGAGCAACAAAAGCAATTCAACAAGCAAATAGATATAGAAATATTGCAAGATGTACTTTGAATGGTTTTAATTTTGAATTAGAAGATAGTTTTGATCTTTCTATTTGGCAACATAAGCTTAGTAATTTGGATATCAGATGTAATTATTGTTAAGCTTTAAAGTGGAAAAATGAATCATTAGGATTTTGCTGCCTTAATAGTAAAATTAAATTAGCATTACTTGAACCACCTCTACTGGCTATATCACAGTTATTAACTGGATTTGATATTACTACTGGTAAGAGATATGTTTAAAATATAAGGTTCTATAATTCTGCTTTTGCTTTTACATCTTTAGATATAACTACAGATCGTAGCATATTTGAAGTAGGCAAACCTTATATTTTTAGAATTCAAGAAGCTTTATATCATAATATAGGTTCTTTAATATCACCAAGTAGGCAGCCTAAATTTGCACAAATTTATTTCTATGATAGTAATTTTGATACCCAGTTTGCTTTAAGGAATAAAGCATCTCCAAATTTAAATTTGAATATGATGAGATCTTTGCAAGCTAAACTTGATCATATTAATCCTTTTGTTCAAATATTTCAAAGTGCTGGACAGCAGGCTACAAGAAATTCTGCTTTAAAATTAAAAATTTCTAATGTATCTTCTCAAGATATGAGAAATTATAATTTACTAGTTGCTTCTGAAATTGCTGCTATAATTTCTGATGATAATACAATTGACTCTGGTAGAGATATTATTCTTACTACACTACAGAGTACTTTGTGACACATCTCAAAATTACATGGTACTTATGATCCTTTACAGTATCCACTCTTTTTTCCAAGAGGAGAGTATGGATGGCATACTGGAATTATGCATTCAAATGTAATTGATCAAAGTTCTAATGCTAATGATAGTTTAAATTTTAATTATAATCAATTAAATATTTTGCCATTAGATTCTACTGATTCCTAGCAACAACGAAAGCATGTGACAATTAGAGAATTTGCATGTCATAGGTTACAAATAAGAGATCCTAATAGTATTTTACATCTTTCTGGTCGCTTATTTCAGCAATATATCATTGACCAGTATGCAAAATGGG